AACACAGGCACATCGCCTCCGAGCGGGATTCAAATCCCGATGCCGCCAACAGTGTGACACATGTTGAGGCGGAGACAAGTCGTCCCTCACCCCGGGGCCGGTTGACTGGTCTCCCGCCAGGCCGGTGTCTAGGCACTAGAGCCGCCGCCCTCACGCGGAGAACCGTCCAGAGCCCCACCTCCCAAGGGGCCCAATGACACGGCTTCGATCTGTCAGAGGCCATGAACCGAATCCCGCCTCGAGTCACCAGCCCGCGTAATTGCAATTCCGGGATCACATTCTGCACTTGACCAGCCGGCTGAGCTTGGCGTGATATGCCCCGTCGGTTTACAACAACAGCCAACGCATGACCGTTGCCTGCGCGGCCTTCTTTTCGGCCAGGGTGCCGGGCCCCAACGACCGGAGCGTGCCGGGCACCACGCTCCTGCTTTCCCCCTCCCTCCTCCCTCCCTGGTCCTCTCCCCCTCCCTCCTCCCTCCCCCCGCCCCCCGCCCCCCGCCCCCCTATTTTCCTCTCTGCGAGACATGTCCTCGGCTATCTCGCAATCGGCTACGGCCGCAGCGGCCACAGCTGCCGCCGGGGTTGCCGCTGGCAGCGGTGTCATCAGCGCCCCACAGGAGCCCCGGACTTCGCGTATGATCGCGGTTCTGCTCCAGTCAATGGGCGTTGACGAAGTGGAGCCACGCGTCATCCACCAGCTGACGGAGCTCCTTCACCGTGCGCCCCGCCGCCGCCTCGCTTGCCGCCCTTCTTTCCTTCTCTCCCTTCTCCCCTCCCTCGCCCCAGCCCCCTCTGACCCATCTGTGCTCATGTCCCCCAGGCATGACCGGCGAACTGCTGGAGGAGGCCCGCGAGTGCGCTCTACATGCTGGCCGGGCTGCCGTCAATGTTTCCGATCTGCGCCTGGCGTCCGACGCGCGAACCGGCGTCCAGTTTGTTTCTCCCCCCTCGACGGATGTACGCTGCCCCCCTGGCACACGCCCCTGTTTACTTCACTCCGCGCGTGTGTTTGGCCCCTGACTGCGACTGACCCATTTCGCGCGCAGGTACTCATGCGGATAGCTGCCTCGGTCAACCGTCGCGAAATCCCCGCCCCCCGGAGGGACCGCAACCGCGTGCGCCTCCCCGACGAGGCCTTTTGCCTGACGATGCCCAGCTACGAGCTTCACTACGTACGTGTCCACTCTCTTCCCATGCCATGGCGCTCTGTTGCCCTCCTTCTCACGCGCACCCTCTCTCCCCCCGCGAAAAAAAAACAACAACCCTCCCCCTGCCTCGCCCTCCCCCCGCAGGAGGAACCCAAGGAGAGTGCCGCCCCCGCGTCCAGTGCGGATCTCCATTCGGTTGGTGGTGGTCCCGCATCCACGGCGCCGGTCACCCTGTCGGCGGTGCCAATTATCCTGCGCCCGGTGGCCGCCGGCGAGCCGGCCACCAAGCGTGCCCGGTCGGATGACCTGGCCACCACCTCGACCGCCCCGGCCGTGGGCATCTCCCTCGGGGTGCCGGCCGCCGCGGCCCCGGGTCCAGCATCCACCCGGGCCGTGGACGACGATCTGGATGACGATCTGGACGACGACTTTGATTGATGGGTCTACTCTCTGCCGCCCCTCCGGGTATATATATATATATATATATGTATATATATATATGCATGCGCGGGTGGCCACCCGCGGATCCCATGGGGCAAGACCCCGCCACAAATGTTCCAATATAAAGTACACAAATCTCGCAAAGGTCCATTAGTTCCCGTGGAGTGGCCCACCCGGCTGGGAGCCCCTCTCACCCTCGGACTTGACCGCCTCCTGTCGGGGGAGATTCACCAAGATTGGCCAGACATCACCATCTGACAGACGGACGACAAGCGCGAAGCGCCGGAACCCATCAAACAATGCGCCAGTCATCCCCTCGCGATAGATGTCTCGAATGTGATACAGAGGCGACTTGTCGGGGAGGGCATAAAACCGAGCGAGATCGTGCGCCGGCACAAGCTGTGATGCCCCCCCCGGCTGGGTCGGGGGGTGTTCGTCCTTCGCATGCTGGGAAGGCATGACACTGGACCCCGCGAAGGGGGAGGCCCCGAGTTGCTGGTTGTCGGGTCTGCTGTGTGTGGCAGGACCACCAGCCCCCGGACCATCGCCACTGGCACCATGGCCGACATCCTCCTCGTGAAGGTCGGACGAGCGAAACCGAGAGAGAGTGGATGCATCGAAGTGCAAGCCCTCGCGGCGGGTGGTGCTTTTCCCGAGAAAGTGCAAGACCTTCGGCTGGTGCGTTTGCGGGGCATGCACCGTTTGCTGGAGACTTGTGCCACGCGGTCGCAGGACAAACAGAACGTCGAAAAAGGCCGAGAAGATTTGATCCTCGGGGCTGTACTGGTAGGAGAACTGCAGCCGGCAAATGGGGAGGCAGATGCCGACGGGGCACTTCCGGATGTGAGAAGCGACTCGCCAACGGAACAGGAGGAGGACGATGGGAGAGAAGGGGGTGGGGGGTGGGGAGGGGGAGAATGGCGGCAGCTATTCACAGGCGTACGTGCTCGATGCTGGTGGACCAGTTCTCCGAGCCCAAGGTCGAATCAACCAGGCTTGATGCTTCCGAAATTGACAACGGTGCGCCAGGAGGTGGGCCCTCCTTCCAAGTGACATCCGGGTAGGGAGATACCTGGCGGGGAATTGGGCAGCATCAGCAAGGGGGAGAAACGGAAGGGACCCCATGGGGTGTGATCCAGCTGGGAGGTGAGAAGAAAAGGAAACCAGGCGGAAGACCAGGAGCAAGGCAGGGGAGCAAGAGAGCGGGGCACATGGAAGACGCACCACGAAAAAGCGCTCGTCCGGCAGGAGGAAGTAGAAATCCACGCCACGGAGCTCCAGCTGGCGGAGCAACTTCCACACGCTGATCCTGCTGAAAAAGCGCACAAAGGCAATCCGAGCATCGACGAAGAAGCGGAGCCGATAAATCGGGCCAAACTGAAGGAGGATGCTTCGCAGGGCATCCACAGTCATGCCGGCTGGCAGGAAGGTCAGCCGCAGGCAGTAGTCCGCGGAATTCGGGGGAACACGCATGAGGATGGGCTCCGCCGGGGGGCACATGTGCATCAGCCGCGAGAATTCCTCGCGCGCGGTGGTCTCCTCGCGCCGGGTTTGCGAGGGAGGCAGCCCTTGCGACGTGCGCCAGTCGGCGGATCGCCGGGCAATAGCCCGGGGGCGCGAGGCAACATGAGACATCAGCGGCGAGTGGGATGGGGACAGGGGGAGGGCAGGAGGAAAGACGCTCGGAAAGTGAGGGACTCCCATGCAGGGGGGGGGGGAGGAGGATTTGGCTTGCCGGTGGAGGTGGGGCAAGCCTCGGTCAGGGCGTGTCCAGGGCCACGGCATTTTAGTATTTCCCTCTTTCAGGAGCCGGGGGGACGGGGCCAAGTCCACACATCAACCAACCACCGCCGGGCCGGATCACGATCGGGGGCTGGTCGCGGCGGGAAAAGCCGGGCCCAGACAGCACGATCGCCGATCCAGATTGGCGTGGCCGCCGAAAAACAGCATCCCGAAAATCGTAGCGCCACATCCATACCACATACCAACGCCAGGTGGCGCCATTCATCCGGTGTGTTAGTAATGGTGTTCTTTATGTCACGTGTTACCGGATTGTGGACTCACTCGCTGCTGGGCAGGGGCCCGCAAGTTCCTGCTCCCCACTAGTGACGGGGTAGTCAGGACGTGGTGGGGGGGGGGGGCAACACGGTCTCAAGGCGAGGGCCAAGTTGGATTATTTAATCATAAAAGACCTTTGGCCACGGGCCCGGGCAGGAGGCCCAGCGTCTGCCGTGCATGCGCCCCTCTCCCGGGGGGTCACACACATGTCCACGGGTATCCTCCGTACGAGCGCCGGCCCCCGCGGCGGGGGGGGGGGGGGATCAGAGAAAATGCTCGGAGGGACAAAAAAAGACCTCCCAGGCATGCGACCAAGCACCACCGTCAAGCCAACAATCAGGATGCGAGACCGGGGACGAACAGCCTCCCCCTGGGGAGTGGGGGGGGGGGGGGGAGGCGCGGGGGCCAAGTTGACGGTTGACATTACACCCCATCCGATTCAAGACATCCCCCCAATCGGCGGATCAAAATATCCGCTTTATTTTGACCGGAGTTTCGCTTGCAAATGCTTGCGGCCCGCTGTCTGGTCTAGATGATTCTCCAGCTGCACGGAGCTGAGATCAGCCTGACGCGGGCCCGTCTCATCCGGTGCCAGGGGCGGAGTGTGGCATCCCCCGTGTCAAGGCAGCCGCTCGGAGGGGCTGGGGGGGGGGGGGGGGGGGCAGGGGGAGGCAGTCCATCCTCCTGGCTTGCCGAGGAGGGCGGGCGACGCTCCCATCCCCCGCCATTGACCACCTGCCCTGGCACCCCGGTCCTCTCTGGCGCCCCCTCAACCTACCCATCGCGTGGGGGGACAGGGGTGCATGTGTATATGGCTGGTGTGGCGCGAGACTTGCCCCCGGGGAGGTTCTTGTTGCCGCGCCCCGGCTCGGGTCTTCCCCGGATGCCGCCAGATAGAAACCCGTTTCTTCACCTCTGCTCTTTGCCCCCCCCTCCCCTTCCCAACACACACACACACTTCTCTCCACCATGACCAAGGCTGTCGCTGTCCTCAACGGTCTCAACGGCCTCAAGCTCGTTGCCACCTTCTCCCAGCAGTCCCCTGACTCGCCCACCGTCATCGATGTACGCTCCTCTTCCTTCTGCCCAGATCTCTCTCTCTCTCTCTCTTCACATGTGCATCGGCATCTCCCCGTTCTCACCCTCATCCTCTCTGATGGCCGACTTGCTTTGCAGATCGAGGGCTCTGGCATCAAGCCCGGCCTTCATGGCTTCCACGTTCACGAGTTCGGTGACACCACCAACGGTACGATGGCCAAGCCCCAGCCCGCTCCCTCGCCCCGTCTTTCCTTCTTCCCCTCCTCCTGTCTGCGCCTGCGCGGTCAAGGCACCGTGCTGACTGCTCCATCCTCGGGTTATGGCCCTCGCTCCCGCGCTCTGCCCATGTGCCGGCACTTTAGGCTGTGTCTCTGCTGGCCCCCACTTCAACCCCCACGGCCACACCCACGGTGCCCCGTCCGCCGCCATCCGGTACATATCCCACTCCCCTTTCCCCCCCCCCCCCTCCCTTCTGCTGCGCACCCCACCCCACGCCCAATCCGTTCCTTACCCATCCCCCTCGGGTGACTCCGCCGCTGCCGTTGCCACCGTGTACCTCCCTCTGACCCTGCTTGTGACTCTGCTCTGCTGTGTACAGCCACGTCGGTGACCTCGGCAACCTGTCCGTCGACGAGACCGGCTCCGTCAAGGTCACCATCACCGACCACCTTGTTTCCCTCTCCGGCGTCAACAACGTCGTCGGCCGCGCCCTGGTTCTCCACGCCGACGTGGACGATCTTGGCCTCGGTGGCCATGAGCTGTCGGCCACCACCGGCAACGCCGGCGACCGCATCGCCTGCGGTGTCATCGGCATCACCAAGTAAGGGTTTTCACTCGGAGAAGCAGACCATTCCGCGCCCGCCGCAGATGACTATCTCCCTTCCTGGCCCTGCTGCAGGAGGACCCCCCCCCCCCTCCAATTGACGCGTGCTTCCCAAGCATGCGCCACGCTCACACTCCCATGGCCACAATTCCTCTGCCATCGGTTTTGATGCTTTTTTTGTGGAATATACTGCAGAATGCTCCCCTGTTTCTCTCTCTCTCTCTCCCCCTTCCCCGCCCTCTCGCCGGCTGCTATATTTAGCCCCTCTCTTCTGCCCTCGTGTGATTACTGGCCCGCCTATCAAGGGGTGGCCATTTTACTATTTTACACAGCGCCAAAGAGAAGTCTTCTCTTCCGGGGGAGGGAAGAAAGACCCATGTCGTGGCGCGATTCGTTTCAAAGAGAACACATATCACACTTGTGCACGCACGCACGCACGCACGCACGCACGCACGCACAGGCACACTCGACAGAGAGGGACAGAGAGGGGACTCCTACTGCTTGTCGGCCGCCGGGTTCGAGCGTGCCCGGTACAGGATCAGAGATTCCTCACCGGCGCCAACAAGTGAGACCCCGGCACCCGCTGGCACAAAGAAGGCCGAGCCGGGCGCGCACTCGAGGCCTGGCGGAAAGGGGTGGCGGGCAAAATGTCAGCAGTCGAAAGCACAGTCGACGACCAAGGGAGATGGTTGGCGCGCGAAGGAGGGGGGGGGGGGCAGACGTACCGGCCACACGGCCGCGCCCGGCCGCGCAAAGGAGAATGCTTGGCACGTCGACTGGGGCCGCATCGCAGGAGCCAGTCGTCATGCACAGCCGATCCACCTCGAATTCCGGCGCGGGAGAAGGATACCGCAGGGTTTCGAGCCCGGGCCGTCCGGTATCGCTTGGCTGCGGGATCGGCTGCACCATGAATCGGCTGCCCGGGGCGGGTGTCGAGTCAAGAATCGACAGGAGGGTCCCGACATCACGGAACTTCGGGGTGAGCCCAGCTCGCACGACGTTATCCGAGGCCGACATGCATTCGATGCAATCTGCATATGCGCCCCAAGCAAGTGATGGATCCGCAGGCCAGGGCAGAGGCAAAGCAGGGGGCAGGGATACACACATGCCACGAGGAAGGACCAAATACAAGGCCAGGAGGGTCAAAGGGGGTGGAGAAAAGTCCAATGGCATTCGACACCCCCCAGATGCACACCGGGATGCGAGAGAGAGAGAGAGAGAGATAAGCAGGGATAATTAGACATGGCGGATACACGGCATGAGGCTTGGAGCATGAAAGGCCCACCGAATTCGGTGGTGTGCGCACCGCCAGACACATATGCATGTGGCAGGCCGGCTTCCAGGAAGATGGCCTCGCCCGGCTGAAGGAAAACCTCATTCAGCAGGTAGGCACAGAAAATTCCCCGATCCCCCGGGTACTGTTGCGACAGACGCAAAGCCAGGTTGTTGGCCCGTGCCAGGACCGGCAGCGAGGGGTCCATACGGTCAGCGGAAATGGACGAATCAGCCTGCAGCCGAGCCAGCAGGGTGGCAGCCTGCACGGCCACCACACCCTCCGGCGCGCGCATCAGGCAATCAAACACCCGGAAGGCTGCCGTCCGGAGAGCCATGTCGCCAGGTGCAGCCCCTCCAACCGAGGATGCCTCGGCCAACAAAGCAGCCACATGCTTCAAGGGGGACACCCCCGCTTCGAAGGCGTCATCCTGCCGAGGGGGCAGGATCGACGTCGGCCGGTCCAGGACAGCCGATCCGCCAGCATGCTCCAGGTCCAAGATGGTGGTCAGCTCTGGCGTGGCCAGGGCCAACTCGAAGATCTCCGACAGCGGACGGATGCCCACCATGGCGCTGATGCCCGAGGGAAGTTAGCCGAATGTCCTGCAACTTGGAGATCATGCTTGCCAGAGAGAAAACACACCGGAAGGGCTCCGGCCCCAGGGCAATTGCCATCTCCGGCTTGTGGTTGTCATCACGATAGACAGCCGGGAACTCGCGGTGGAGTAGCCGGGCCGCTGTGCGATCTGGGTGCACCTGGATCGACAAGGCCGTGCGCACGGACAGAACCTTGAGCAGGAAGGGCAGTTCGGCCCCCGGAGTCGGGGCTGCCGCTCCGACCCCGAGAACCCCCGGCTGGGCGCCGATGAATGCCCCCAGCGTCACGGCCCGGGCGTCACCCAGGCTGCTTGCGGGCCGGGGGTCATCCGCAGCTGCCTCGGGGCTCGTCAGGACCGAGGCCGGGCCACTGGGATGCGTTCCCAGCCAGAGCTCCGCAAAGGGAGTCCGACTGTGGTCGTCGGTCGGGGCGTACTGGTGTGCGTCGCGAGCGAATTTGTAAAGCTACCATGGAAGTAGGCGGACAGGTCGAACGGAGAGGCAGCACAAGAGGCAGGGACAAAGGCAGTGCGAGGAAGACAGAGGTAGAAGGTGAGAACCGGAGCAAAATGCGAGAGGCCCGAGGAAGGGGAGGCCCATTTCGCGTGCTGGTGCGAGGATCATGGGGGGTGTGGGGGGGGGGAGACCGGCATGGCCAACAGGCAGGGCGCACCAAGCTTTCCGAACCGGTAGTGCCCCACTCGTAGTGTTGGATGGCCCCACGTAGAGGGAAGACAGCAGCACAGCCGGCTCCAGTGGTCGGGGTCCCACCTGAGCGGGCTACCTTCAGCGGGTGGGCAGCTGAGAGATCGGCGTCCGGCTCCGCTGGCCGGGGACGAATGCGCTCGGCGGAGGTCATTGACACTGAAGGGTCGGAGAGAGGCGAGATGGGAGCCCGGAGTCAAGAAGGAGAAGGAAGGGGAAGAGGGTCGGGATGAGAGGGGAGTAAGAGAGAGAGGGAGAGGAGGGGGATTGCTCGGATTCGCTGTTGGCCTCAATCCCGCCGGCTTCTCTTGAAAGGAAATGCTCCGCAGGTCAGGGCCCCAGCCCCGGTGGGCTGGGCGGCTGGTCAGATCGCACGGACAGACAGAGGTGACATGCGAACGGGCAGGCGAGGATCAACCTCAGTGTATTTCCAGGTGCTTGCGGGGAATTAACGCACATGCCCATCTCCTCACATCACTGGAGGTCCAGCCGAGATTCCCCGAGATGTCGTGCTGCTTGGCATTCCTTCTCTTCGGCAAAAGCCGGTGAGGAAGGGGGGAAGGCACACATGGGAGATCGTCCTTTCGGGCAAGAGACGGACGAAGCACAGTTCCGAGATCGCATCTTTTGGATATCCCCCTCCGCCACCCCTCCCCGTTTAAAAGCGTGGAATGGGGGCGACAATATCCACCGGAGATCAGGCAGCGCTCGTCCTCTAGCCAGTCACAGCGGCGCTACTATGGGTGGCAGGCGGGGGGAGATTAATCGCTACCAACTGACAGTTCTGCCAACCTCAATCACGTCCCCATACTAAATCACACCCCATCGAATCTGTTCTGGATTTCGCCTGGGCGTCTGCTGTTGGAGCACGGCCCGGGATGGGGCTTTCCCCTCCCTCGCTGCGGGGGAAGGGAGAGGGGGAGAGGCGACGGGTGGAGTGCAGGGGCG